AACCAACACCCCCCGCACCCCCCCCCCCCCTTTTTGTTTTTAACAAAGGGCCAGCCTGTAGCCAGAGGTACTAGAAAATACACCAGGATCAGTGGGATTTTACAATCCTGTTGGCTCAGATGGAGCAAAAAATTGCCCCAGGGTTGATGATGAGTGGACGTAAATAGCAATTTACCACCTGTGAGAGAAGAAATAGTGCCCCATTGTTGGTATCAGTGAGAGGAATAGTGCCCCATTGTTGGTATCAGTGAGAGGAATAGTGCCCAATTGTTGGTATATGCGGGAGGAATAGTGCCCCATTGTTGGTATCAGCGAGAGGAATAGTGCCCTATCCTTGGTATCAGTGAGAGGAATATCAGTGAGAGGAATAGTGCCCCATTGTTGGTATCAGTGAGAGGAATAGTGCCCTATCCTTGGTATCAGTGAGAGGAATAGTGCCCCATTGTTGGTATCAGTGAGAGGAATAGTGCCCTATCCTTGGTATCAGTGAGAGGAATAGTGCCCCATTGTTGGTATCAGTGAGAGGCATAGTGCCCTATCCTTGGTATCAGTGAGAGGAATAGTGCCAATCTCTTTATTGACTATGGTGGTGCAACATCTAGGCGACGTTTTGGGTGTAGCATAATAGTAGTAAACTGTGCATTTCGTTATAGAGGCCTATAAATCAGACCAAAAAGAAAGACTAAGAGGAACAATTAGGAGCTAAAGAACTGTCAAAACTTAGATAATAGTCTTAAAAAGCATGTTTATAAAGCATGAGGTTTAAACCAGGCCTTAGGTATAGTTTCACATGTAATAAAGACCCTGCAAGCATGAATTAGCACTCGTATTGCTGATTTTGATGCTCTGTGTTGACTTGGCTCTTTGTTGTTTCCTATGGGAAAGTTCAAAACCAGGACATTTTTAAAAAATTCAATCAAAAACTCATATTCTAATGTGCACTTACTATCAATAATTATTAAAAAGCATTGTTTTAGGTAGCTATTATTATTGCTACACATTCCATATGTCCTCATGCTGTGGGATAACTGCAGTCACTAGAAAGAGTATGTTGATACATACGGTCAGAGTTCATTCTGATTTAAATGCAGTCAAATGGTTAAAAAACATAGTGCCATGATTTCTGCAGTAACCAATGAAAAGTTAAATTAATTTTGCTGTTCAACTAGAAAAAGCAATATTAACGGGCTTGGTGGTATAACAGAGGAAAGAGTGGTGCCCACTTCAGCAGTGGGAGTTGGCTGTTAGTATGTCCTGCATACTGGGAGTGCTAACAGCTGTTCTTGCATTTATGAAGCCTGCAGTTAGTGATTGCAGGCTTCATTTATAAACACATAAAAACAAAACCGTTACAGTGTATTTTAATGACAAGCTGCATGAATGTAGCCTGAAGATTGTGTATGCAGTCTTCATTCATACATACAATATTTTTATTATGTATTTTGTAGGGCTGTGCAAATTAACGATTCATTTCTCGATTAATCATTCATCTTTTTGATCTATTAAAATGTCTTTGATCTATTAAAATGTTTTTGATCGATTAAAATGTTTTTGAAACTGTCTGCAAGAGCGCCAGCCAAGGCATTGGCCTATACACATACAGCACAGCAATGAAGTAATAAAAGGAACTAGGATCACACTAATCCAGCACATTATTATTCTGAGTTGCCCCACTCAAGCGGCGGCCATATTGAGTGGGCACGTGAGATTAATAACGTGCTGGATTAGTGTGATCCTAGTTTTTTTTATTACTTCATTGCTGTGCTGTATGTCTATAGGCCAATGTAGTTGGATCTGTATGTGCGTTATAATGAATCGATTAAAAAAAATTTCGATTAAATCGAACACGAAAATTTTAATCAATAACAGCCCTAGTATTTTGGTTAAAGCAAACTCCAGGCAAAACGCTATATATACAGATGAAATACATATCCCCTTCGTGACTGACGACGTACAGTGTACGTCGCCAGCATCGGGGCTGTTTAAACAGACTCCCGGCGACTTTTGCCGCCGGGAGTCTGTTTAAACTTGTAGAGCCGAAACTGTTTTACCTTCCAAAGGGATTTGTATTTCTGTCCATTAATTGCTGAGATTTACCCAGTTCTTCCACATAGCACAACTCTGCTTGGCAAGGGAGGGGACCTGATTTATCCCTGCTGCAATTCCTCTTTCACTTACAGGTCTCTTCCACAACCCCACCCCACACTGTGACTGGATAGTGAAAAGAAAAGCAGCAGACTAATGAGCTCATCTTTTGGTCACTCTGCTCTCTCCTTCCATCCCTTCTATCAACATGACACTTGCACTTGAACACACCTGAATGGCTTCTTGTAACCAGCCAATCACTGGGGTTTTTTTGCCCAGTGGTGCATGCTGGGGAAGTGCATACAGTATATACTCAAGGAAATTGCCATGTACTCAGCAGGGACGTGCGGTCAAGGGAGGCAAGTGAGGCAGAGCCTCACCTAGAATTATGGAAGAAAAAGCTGTCAGCTTCAAGTCTGAAGCTGACAGCTTTTCCTCCATTCAGTTCGGCATCTAACAGGTTACAGAGCAGGGAAATCCTTCCTGCTGTGTAACCTGTCATGGATGAAGCGCTGCCTGTCAACCACAGGCAGCGCTGCATCCGGCTTTAGACAGGTAGTTAGTGAGGAACAGGGAGGCTCCTCCCTTTCTCCTTCACACTAGCTTGGGGACGGTTTGGGACTGGGGCGTGGCTTCGGCCGGCGGGGGGCGGGGCGGGGGAATGCCTCACCCGGAATATGAGGTACCGCACGTCACTCGTACTAAGTCTTGGTTGCAGTTTAGTCCAGCCTGCCCCAGGCTTGGCAATGCTCAAGTATAGGAAACGTTTGACTAGGCCTGGAGTAGGCCTCCCATGCTGATTGAGAAAGAGAACCAGAGAAGCTGATGGCTACTGAATGTGCCTGGTACTGAATTGGACCTCAGGAGCAAGTCTGGTGTCTCTCCTACTGAAGATCTCATGTGTATCCCTATTCAGCTGTTGATCTAATACCCAGTGCCAGCCTGTGCTCCTATTGATTCTGCACTGTGGAGTACTGAAATGGCCTGGTGAGTCTGGAGTCTGCCTATTTTTGTCATGGATGTTCTAAGCCCAAAACCCTCTCTCCCAGCTGTGAAGTTCTGCAATAAAGTTCCATCAGCATCACATCTGCAGTTTGGATTTCAGTTTGTCGCTCACCAGAGGGTGGTAGATGCTATTGGGGCAGCTGGTTGCTAAAATCCCTAGACAGGCTAAGAAAGACCCGTTTATCCAGCGGCTCCTTTGGGGGTGAGTGCTACACTTGTATTTAAATAAAATAGTGTATTAACTATTACAGAGCTGCAACAGTTATTGTCTTTTATATCTGCCGGGTTGTTACTATTTAATCTTTTATTAAGCTTTAGTTACGTTTAATTCATTCTTATTACTCCCTCTCCTTCTTCTCTATTTTTCTCTATTTTTCTTTCACATTTATCTTCTCTGATTTTGTAAGCACTTTATTTGATTTGTAAATGACGTTGCTGTGCTCTGTATTAGAAGAATTATTTTAAATTTCTCAAACATGTCCGATCACTATTCCTCCCCCAATGAGCCTCAGCTCGACGTGGACGCACTTTGTGTCTTTGCTTTGGGTGCTAGGGGAGCTTGTCCTGGCACTGCAGACAATATCTCAGCTAATATTGGTGCCTAAGGGGCTGACTGGGACAAGCAAGGATAATGCACATCTAAAGGGATGCTGGCTGTGTCTTCTTTTATGTAACAGTGGAATAGATAAGAGACCCTGCTGGTTAAGGACTGGCACCCAGCGCCCTTTTGCAATCATCATGTGGATGCCAAAGTGCAAATAGCAGGAAGGATTCATGGCAGAATGCCTTTATGGATGCCACCTATAAGGATGTATCTGCTTGTCACTGGCTTTTTCTTTCACCATTTAAGCTGCTGCCAGCTGTTTTTATGGTTGGCAGTGGTGGAGGGAAGCCAAGGGTAATAATAGGAGCACTCTGAGTTTGTTTAGCTGAAACATACACTGCTCAGTATGACTGGCAGCTGCTGCTGGAACTGGTCTAAAGGGGTCTCATTCAGCTCTGAGTATGTGAGGGTGTGTGCCAGGTAGATGTGTGCCAGTAAAACACAATTCCTATAGATTACAGATTGCACTTGCTCAATCCAGCCATATACAAACAAATTAGAATATATCCATATGTTTATGGATCCCTCCATGACCCTGGTGGACACTCCCTGGCTGAGCCTACTTGGGGAAAACATTAATTGGCCTGGGTGATTTTTCTCAGTGAATTACTATTGTTTTACCCAAGAGAGGCTGGTGATCTCAGCAGGGCTTCCATAAACAAAAATGGCAAGTTTGGTATATGCAAACTCG